TCGGTACGGTTTGCCAGAGTAAATAAAGTCCGGATTACACAGGAATAAAAAAAAATCAGTTGGGGAGACGTAGGTCATGTTTGACTGAGAGTTAAATAGGCGTGATTTTCACTAGAGACTAAAAGGTCGATACTGTTATGACAAACACATGGACGTCTTTTTGGCTTTATTGGTGAGGTCATCTTTCTGCAGTCGGCATATTCTTGACCTTAACCAACAGAACGACATCCAATTCGAAATTATTATGGAAATTTACTAAATTGAAGCACGAGACCATAATTTTACGGTATCTGTTATGATGCCTAATAATGGACCAGAGTAAAGCAGATCCATGACTGTTCTTAGGTTAATAATGTGAAATGAATACAATCAAGTTTATCTTAAATTACGAAACTTAATCATTATGCTAATCGTTGTGCTATGGGAAACACAGTAGTCGGGGTGCCGTGTCCCTTCAAGACGAAGACAATCATGGCTCCCCTTTTTCATTTTCTTTTATTATCTGTGAATTGCCATAACTTCTTGAGAAAAGAATGAGGTGCTTTCTCTTTGGCTTTCTCTGTGGTTTTGAATACAGACTGGCTGCCAGCCAAGACTAGACAGGCTGGCTTCTTTTGCTATTTAACCCATATCTTGGAGAAGTAACGAAATGGATGCATGCCTTTCCCAAGGGCATTAATGTGAGCAGATTTAAATTTAAAGTCACTGATTATGAAGCGAACTCATTAAAGAGTGCGATGGGTAAATTGTCGCCATTTTATATGCTTAATTGCACGCATGCGCGGTGTTTGATTTTGATTTTGTTGACTGTATAGTATAGTAGGGTCAGTTAGACACCGTCTGTGAGGAAAAAGAGCACCATGACGCAATTCACTGCGCCAGAAATTTGGAGACGGCATGCTTTACTACTTAGCATTCGCACCGGAATCCCCAATACGAACATTTCAGAGTGTTTGGGTGTCCATCTGAGGACACCCAAACACTCAGAAAAAGTTGGATGAGTCTAATGGCGATTACGAAGGTGTTTGGCGTGATCAGTAGTGATGGCGACGTTATGCTTCCACTCATCATCCCACTGGGCCTCAGATTCAACATGGAGGCCTACATAGATCACCCTTGTCTAATACTAATTACAAGGGCAGCCCGGAAAACTCACTCTGATCGTTCTGATAAAAATGAACTCACGAATTTGTTATTGAGGGCCTCAGACTAAACACGGGTGTTTACATCAAGTAACTTTGGGAGATAGTACTACCTTTTGTTAAGAAGGTGGCTGCTGGTAGACCCTTTGTCTGGCAACAGGACTCTACACCATGCCAAAAAAGCAGGAGAACCCAGTCATGGCTGTCAGACAATCTCTGCGATCATATCACCCATAGCATCTGGCAACTTAACTCCCCAGACAACAACACCTTTGATTATTATGTGATATGTGGGGTGCAGTTGAGCGAGAGATTAACAAAACTCCTTGTAACACCAAAGATGAACTGAAAGCAAGGATTATAGCAGCATTTACCAATTAAACAAGGAGACCATCCTGAAGAGTTGCAAAAGATTCCGAAGTCGCCTGGAAGTGGAAGCCAATGACGATTTTAGATTTACTCTATTATTTCAAGATATTTTTGTTTAATTTTAGTAAATATATGTTAAAATGGGAAGTATGTGATTTTTTTTTTCATTTTTGCGTAATTTAGATGCCAGTTTATCCATAGCAGCCTGTACATAGAAAAACCGATCCGATTAGTCTAAAGTGAGTTGACCAAAAGCACCGCATTTTCCAGCATAAATGATGCATTTTCTTAAATTTACAATGAAATATGAAAATTGCAGGAACTTTTCTACAGCCTGCCCACGGAGGCGGACGGATTTGCATATCTCAGAACTTGAGATCAAGTTTGATTTTATCTATGTATGGTTTAGACCTGTTTTATAGATATATATATCAGCGTTTTAAAAAAAAATACGTCTTATATCTGAAAAATTCAGTATTCAATATCACTTTGTCAGTTACGACGCCACAGGTGTAAGACACTCGGAGAGGTTCAAATTCACAATACAGAAGTAACTGTAGGCTAAACTAACTCGTTAAATATTACCCGATGCTGAAACATTGAATAGTTATTTATTAACGTTACCGTATTTTATCTTAGACTGACACATGGCTACAGGTGTAGAACGTATAAAACAGTAGTAATGTTCTTCCTGTATAGTTTGTTAGCTATTAATCCGCGAGTCGTCCTTGTAGGGTTCAGTTACTGAGCTTAGCTTAATCTATCGTCACGTCGCTGCAAAAAGCAAGGCAAACGTAAGGCTGGAACTCACGACACTGTTTCGTCTGTGAGACGAGGGTGCTGACCACCGTGCCAGTGGTAGGCCTCCTAATTATGCCGTTATGAAAACAAATTTACAAGCCTATGTGTAAACGTGAAAACATTAAATCATGACTTATTAATGACCGGTCCGATATCAAACTATTTCGTTGTTATTTTCTCACGCGTAAGCACGCATGTATGTACGCCGGTATAACGGGTGTGCGTGGGCGGGTAAATGCGGCATGAGTTGGTGGAGATGGAATGACGAAGAATGATTTATCCTTGGTAAAGAGGAAAGAAACGATGTAACCACGCGAAATAAGCTAAGAAAATATTGCATAAAACATCAAAGATCTATTGGTTTGGTCTGAACTGAAAAATATTCCTTCTTTTTTTCTTTCTTTCTTTCTTTCTTTTTCCGTCTTTCTTCTGCTTTTCTTTATTTCTGTTTTCTTTCTTTCTTTTTTTCTGCTTTCTTTCTTCTACTTTCTTTCTTTCTTCTTTCATTCTTCTTTCTTTCTTTCTTCCTTTCTTCTTTTTTCAGGCTGCTTTATTTGTTTATTCTTTCTTTCTTTCATTTTTTCCTTTCTTTCGTTCTTTCTTTCTTTCTTTCTTGCTGTTTTCTTTCTTACTTTCTTTCGTCCTTTCTTTCTTCCTTTCTTTCGCCCTTTCTTTCTTTCTGCTTTCTTTTCTTTGTTTCTTTCTTTCATTTTTATTTCTTTCTTTCTTCAGTTCTTTCTTTCTTTCTTTCCTTCTTTCTTTCTTTCCTTCTGCTTTCTTTCTTTCTGCTTCCATTCTTATTTCCTTCTTCCTTTCTTTTTTCTGCTTTAGTTATATATTTATTCTTTATTTCTTTCTTTCATTTGTTCATCTTTTTTCTTTTCTTTCTTTCTTTTTTCTTTCTTCTGTTCTTTCTTTTTTTCTGTTTTCTTTTCTTTCTTTCTTCCGTTTTTCTTTCTTTCGTTCTTTCTCTCTTCTTTCCTTTTATGTCTTCCTTCGAATGCTTAATTCTTATCAAGACTTATCAATTTACTTATAAGGTATCGAATAAATAGAGTGAGGAGTTGGCCTAACGGTTTACGATAGAAAAAAAGATATCGGGAATTAAGTTCAATTCCTGGCCTTGGTAGTTACTTTTTCTTACTAACTTTGTTTCTAGTATCTTCGGGAAATGAATGAATCAACTTCCACCCACGATATATTTGGGATTACTCCATGCTCTTTATAGCATTACAATCTTCCGTATATTAAAAAAAAAGATGAATAAATAAATAATAAATTAAATAAATAAATAAAATAAAATAAATGTCTCCAGATAACTCACATCGCTCCAAGAAATTCTATACCTCAACGATTTCCTATTGTCTTGTAATAATCTAATTTCATATTACGTAACATATTGAAACAATTTTGAACATATTGAAAACAATTTTGGGCGTATTGAAAACAATTTTGAACATATTGCAAACAATTATATTCTTTACTGATGCAAATTTTAAATTTTCAAAAAATAAAAAAAGCTTATTTGATAATTAAGAAGCCAATGGTTTTTATGAAATAATCGCGCATGCGCGTATTAAAATTTAGAAATATTTCTTACGAAAATACTATCATAGACAGCGACTGAGCATTTAGACTGAGATAACAAATATATATATATATATATATATATATATATATATATATATATATATATATATATATATATATATATATAGCTTTGATCGAGGGTTCCAGGTAAGTAAGAGGATGAGAATATGTGGGGAAAATAACGGTTAATCCCAGACGAACAGGTCAAGATTGTAAGGATCGGGGACGCATCATGTTAGGAATTGGTTCCAGAGTAGCGCTTCGTTGGAAGAAGCTGTTCGTTTGGAACATGCATCTCACCAACGGAATACGAAGGGAGGGGGGTCGCTACGATATGTGTGTCTGGCGAGTTTTCTTCGTTTGAAATAAAATTCTATTATACATGATGGTCACACATTTTGTTGACTATGCCCAGACGAGTTTAACACCGTCTACCGGAAGTGTAATGATTCCCGTCCATTTAGCGAGATAACATTTAATTAATTTCGTCATAATTGTCGTGTAAGACATGATTTTGCCAGTAATCCGATTGACAATATGAAAGTTTTAAAAAATGAATATTTTCAGTTGTACATCGGTAAATGCATCTGCCAGTCACGCAGGTATTATGAAAATCGAAATAACACTACAATTCTGTTCAAGTCTTGGGTCAACCGTTATCTTCCCCTAATATAAACTGTGTCTCTTACTCTCTACCTGATGTGGCTCCCGGGCCTTGTACAGTATGAACATCACTGTAAAAAAATAATAATAAAAAAAAAATCACGAATCGCTTCTTTGTGGAACCGACTAGCAAGAGGAAGCTTCCTCAATCACTACAATCTTAACCTGCTCACGTCTAGGGTCAATCGTTATCTTCTCCATGTATCTCTAATAAACTGTACTTCTATATCTGTAACTGTCTACCTTGAGTGGTTCTTGGGCCTTGTATAGGGTGAACATCACTGTTCAAATCATAACAACGACAACAAAAGTATCAGAAACGTGCTGCCCTGTATCAAGAACAATTTCGGTACAAAACAGCCGTCTGGCGAAGTCGGCGCCCTTTCTTTCATTCGTTCAGTCATTCACTCGATCACAACGTGTCTTAATTCATCGATGAACTTTATTCATCCAACTCCTTATTTATTCACGTCTTTCATTCATATTTCTTCTTCTTCTTCTTCTTCTTCTTCTTCTTCTTCTTCTTCTTCTTCGTCGTCGTCGTCCGCCTACGCAGTTGCTTACACGCACGACTCTCTCTCTCTCTTTGTCCCTCTTTATGAGCGCGCGAAGTGTGTGTGTGTGTGTGTGTGTGTGTGTGTGTGTGTGTGTGTGTGTGTGTTTGTGTTGATCGGTCTATATGTGCAGACCCAGGCGCCCACGCATTTCATTCGTTCGGTCAGTCCCACTCGATGATACACTTTCATCCCGCCTACGTAGCGGCCGCCCACGTTGAGTCTGCCTCGTTGGTTTGTGATTGCCAACCCACTCTCTCAGTTTCTCACTCGGTCGGTCCGTCTCCAAGCCTGTCTGCAGATTTGGTTCGTCGCGAAGGAGACGGAAAATCTATCTATCTATCTATCTATCTATCTATCTATCTATCTATCTATCTATCTATCTATCTATCCTGATACATATCTATCTATCTATCTATCTATCTATCTATCTATCTATCTATCTATCTATTTCAGTCCGTTCATATCTATCTATCTATCTATCTATCTATCTATCTATCTATCTATCCTGATCTGTTCTTATCTATCTATCTATCTATCTATCTATCTATCTATCTATCTATCTATCTCTCTCTCTCTCTCTCTATATATATATATATATATATATATATATATATATATATCCCAGTCTGTTCTTATCTATCTATCTATCTATCTATCTATCTATCTATCTATCTCAGTTTGTTTCTATCTATATATCGACATACTTTCGTTAAAAGTACAGTATTCAAACCTGGATCTTACCACTAATATTGTTTCACCTACGGATCATCAGGCATTATCCAGTAGGATTGCAAAAACAATCCTACCGTTCATTGCCTGAAAATTCACAAGTGAAATCGCGGTAAATGTAAGGGTTTGTTTTTTTTTTTATATTTGAAACAAACATTTTAACTCTCTGTATTTATTTATTATATTACAAATAAACTGAGCATTTCCTATATGCCGAACTGTATTTTCCGAAACAACAATTATTTGGCAACCTGTTTCTTTTATATTTTCTTACAAATTTCTATCTATCTATCTATCTATCTATCTATCTATCTATCTATCTATCACCATATCTCCACACGCGCACGCGTACACACACACACTCGCACACACACACAAATGCACACACACACATGATGTGTGATTTTCTACATTTTCTTTTGTCCCATTTACTCGTTTCACTTTCTTTTCGCTACATAAATGCTTATCTTTGTGTCTAGTTAACATCAATATATATATATATATATATATATATATATATATATATATATATATATATATATATACTATTCTTTTACCCAATCAGCTTTATTATTTACTGATTAACACTTCAACCAATTTACCTTTAATTACGCATATTTATCTCCCAGTATCGAACTGTTAATCCATTTAGATTTCAATCAGATGCAGAGATAGTTTCATAACGATACCCAATCATACATTCATATAAATAAACTCTCACTCACTCACAAATTCACTTACTCACTCACTCTTTCACTCACTCATTCACTTACATCGCAATTGTATTTTTCTCTCCCCAATTATTTGAATCAGTTTTTCTATCTCCTTTTCATGCTATGTATTTTATGCATTTCTTTGCTTTTATAGGTTTTGCGAGCCTGTTTTTAAGTCACTTCATTGGCCCGGCACCCTTTCAGCCTGTCTACACGTCTGCTCGTCTGCCTCTGCGTCTATGGCCGTATATAATCTTCCTTTATTTTTTTCTCTCTCATTCTGTTTGCTTCACTCTCTCGCTAGACACACACACACGCGCGCACACACACGCATGCGCGTTCGCGTGCACATATATGTGTGTGCGTGTGTGAGCGTGCGCGTATGCATGACTGACTCGTTCTCTATCACTCTATCGATGGAAATATCTATCTATCCCAATCCCTTATTTCATATCTATCTATCTATCTATCTATCTATCTATCTATCTATCTATCTATCTATCTATCTCATTCTGTTAAGCTCTATCTGTCTGTCATCAGATAAAAAAACAGATTGAGAGCTCAGCCGATTGACACGACTATAGTGAATAGAAGTATTAAATACGCTTATTTCGATTCCATTAGTTATGAAAAGAATGAGATAAATTAATAGAGAGAAATAAAATGATAAAGAAATAGATGGACAAATAGATGTGAAAGTACTGACAGACAGGCAGATAGATAGATAGATAGATAGATAGATATTTAAAAAGAATATAAAACTAAACGAGATGACTGCGTATTCTCTTTCTAGTGTTGCGTATGACTCTCACGTCGTTTCGCTGTCATATCTCTTAAAAGCCCTAACTGCCTTGTCTACCCGCTGCTGTGTTTGTCTTGTATTGTAAATGGAGCGTAAATGTGTCGTGTTCGACACCTCTGGGCACTGAATTACTTCGACACTGAACCGTTTACAACCAACGAAAAGATCAACGAACGAGATAGCAACAATTATGAAGCACTCATTGCGCAAAATAACCACTTTCTTTACTGCTGTTGCTGTAGTTGTTGTAGTAGAAAATATAAACCAAACGGTTGAGCAGAGCAAGATTTTCTTGGCTTTGTGTATTGGTTTGACTGAGACGTTATATCGCATGTTGTCGTCCATCTGAAATTGCTTTTGTTTGTCTTCAGTTTCAGAAAGAAAAATCGATTAGATATAAAACAGTACGGTGAGACTGTTTTGTTTTGTAGTTTAGAGTATTACGATATGTGCATGAGCCGTAATACACATGCATACGTATATGTGTGTGTTAGTGCTTGTCAACACCGGTGCAAGGGTTTCGTGTCCCCACCCAATCTATGATCCAACCCCCTCGAGTCTATGATACGGGGCCCCCCACTCTACTGCATCTCAATTCTCATAAGTTAGTATTCATATAAAATACACATTTTATTGTAATATAATTATGTACAATAATGAATCATATGCAATATATGTGAACAATTCAACTAGAAAAATTGAAAACAAATACAGTATATCTAAATACAAATTAGAGACATGTCATAATAGATCATTCCATCTTAAATAAATCAACAATTTTTGATATCAACTTGAGATTTACTTGTTAAAATCTTGAATAAATTTCACACATTTAACATTATAGATAAAAAAATAGTGAATTTTATATAGTGTTTATATAATTTTTTTGTAAAGAGTTTTATGTAGTGTTTTATATAGTGTTTTATGTAGTATTTTATAAAGTGTTTTATGCAGTGTTTTATAAAGTGGTTTATTTAGTATTTTATATAGTATTTTATGTAGTGTTTTATAAAGTGTTTTATATAGGTTTTTTATATAGTGCTTAATGTAGTGTTTTAAAAAGTGTTTTATATAATGTTTTATATAGTGTTTTATGTAGTATTTTATAAAATGTTTTATATAGTGTTTTATAAAGTGTTTTATGTAGTGTTTTATGTAGTGTTTTATGTTGTGTTTTATAAAGTGTTTTATATAGTTTTTTATATAGTACTTAATGTAGTGTTTTATAAAGTGTTTTATGTGGTGTTTTATAAAGTGGTTTATTTAGTATTTTATATAGTATTTTATGTAGTGTTTTATAAAGTGTTTTATATAGGTTTTATATAGTGCTTAATATAGTGTTTTATAAAGTGTTTTATGTAGTGTTTTATATAGTGTTTTATGTAGTATTTTATGAAGTGTTTTATGTAGTGTTTTATAAAGTGTTTTATGTAGTGTTTTATATAGTATTTTATGTTGTGTTTTATAAAGTGTTTTATATAGTTTTTTATATAGTACTTAATGTAGTGTTTTATAAAGTGTTTTATGTAGTGTTTTATAAAGTGTTTTATGTAGTGTTTTATATAGTGTTTTTTCAAAAGTTAGCATGAGCAAAACAAATTCACAGATTTAAACAAAAGACCCCAGAATGACGTCAAAATACACGAAAATTTTTCATCAGTTTTGCTTAGGTTCATTTGTAACGTATATAAACGTAGGTAGAAAAAAAAGCAAATGTTGATAAGAGTGTGAGGGTCACAAAACACTGCCGCGGAACCCTAATCAGGTTCGGACACCCCCGGTCGGTGGGTTCTGAGGTAGTACGCACCGGCCCTAGTGCTTGTAATGGTTTACGTGTCTGTATCTTTGTATATATGTGTATGCGTATGGAAGTGTATGAATCTATCTATGTAAGATTGAATATATGAAAACCAATTGTAAGTGTACGTTCGTTTATTAGTCTGCTGCAAATGTTTCGTTCGCTAAGAACATCATCAGAACAAATGAAAAAAAAAAAATAAAGCAAACGTCATTACCCTCGCATCCTTGCTACTTAGAAACGGCGAGTGTAAATTGAAATGTGTATATTTGCTGGACAATTTCCCCAAGGATGAGGAAAAATCCAGAAGCACGAGAAATGTGGTTCTACAGAGGATATTGAAAATTCCATGGACGGAGCGAATAAGCAACAAGGAAGTCTTAGAGAAAATGGCAACAGAAAGAATCGAGAAAAGAAAGCAGAAATTCCTTGGACATATAATGAAGAAGGAAGGCTTGGTAACCTTAACCCTCACGAGGCCTATTGAGGGCGAGAGAGATCAGGCAGTGAGCCACTTACCTGAGGAGTTTGTGTGAATGGAGAAAAACTGCTAAGAGCCACACAAAATAGAAAGTTATGAGAGCCATGATCGCCTATGTCCTGAAGGGACGCAATACATAAAAGAACATTTTTTAACAGTTAGTATCCAGGTTTTACTATACTGAGTAGGGTACTAGAGCATTGAAGAGATTTGCTGACACTTGACCTCGATTAAAAGTCATCCAATACTCTTGCTGGTTACCACTTTGGACGACATTTTCTTTTTAAGTCCAGTGCAAATATATTGTAAATTTTGCTACTTGCGATCTTTAGGCCGCCCTTTTAAGATAAACTGGGCTGACTTGTGCTGAAAAGACCGAGTACAGAATAGTTCTCTCTTTGACCAAGTAGACATTAAGGAAAATTCTGATGTTTAGTCCTATGGTCAGCTATTGGGAATTGTGTTACAGTGAGAATTTTTCAGCATTCCTAATAATAATAATAATAATAAGAAGAAGAAGAAGAAGAAGAAGAAGAAGAACCTTGAAATAGAAATCTCGAAAATGTGGCATATGGGAACATCAACAATCCATGTTGTAGTTGGAGCCCTAGGAATGGTTGGAAAAGATTGCAGTAGACTAATTGAAGGGATTCCTGGAAGTCCATGCCTCAAGGAGATACAAAATATTGTTCTGACAAGTACAGCCCACACTTTACGATGGGCTTTATCTATGTAATTTTTTTTTGTCAGTGGAAAGTGTCATGATACCATTTCTAAGCTTAGGTCCCTGGGCGGGACCCGGAAAGAAATGTGTAAACGCCAGAAATCAAAGAAAATAATAATAATAATAATAATAATTTATTCAGTAATAATTGAAGTGTATATATATATATATATATATATATATATATATATATATATATATATATGTGTGTGTGTGTGTGTGTATATATGTGTGTGTATGTATTTCAAAAGTTATTATAGTGGACATTCCTTATATATATATATATATATATATATATATATATATATGTATATATATATGTATATATATTACTGACAGAAAGCTTGGGGCCACCCTGTATTTCTTTAAGAACACATTAAAATGAGATATTTTAAAGTAAAAGATAAAATTAAGGTAAATAATTAAAGTGTATTTGCTTTTATTTTTCAGTCTTTCTCCGCGACCAAAAAGTTCAAATTTGGATTAATCTGTCAAGAATACATTTTGCTAAATTATGAATATTTCGTATGAAAAATATTATATTTTGTTTTCACCCTAAAAAACCCCCAACCTATAGAAGACTTTTTGAGATTGCCAAAATGGATAGAGATTTTATTCAGGTAAAAAAAAAATGAACAATATCATATGATTTCATCTAGTTTGCGTATAAATGGAAAAGAAATCACCTTTCAAGAAAACAATCATCCAAAACATTCTTCTAAATTATATCAAAATTAGTTCGAGTCAAAAAAAAAAGGAACAAAGTTTTGAAAATTATGAATTGGCCACCTCAGTCAACTAACTTCTCTTCCATTGAATTACTATGAGATTAACTGGATAGGAGAGTTCGAAGAGAATACCCAAAGTGTGAGAGTGAGCTTTTTTTCAATGCTTCAAGAATGCATGGGAAGGTCTGCCATCTACTTTCTTTTCTAAAAATTAATGAGAATAACAAGAATTTGTAAAGCAATAATTAAGGTAGGTGGTGATTTTATTGAGGAAATCAAAATATGATGATGTGTGATAAATGTTATAGCTAAGTTCTTATTTTAGTCAAAATAAAGACAATTACATCAGAGTTACTGAAATCTTATCTTTTACTTTAACAAAAATACAAAAATGCCTCATTTTAAGGTGTTTTTAAAAAAGGTAGGGTGTCCCTTTACCCGTAGTATATATATATATATATATATATATATATATATATATATATATATATTCCTGATATTATCGGTCTGGACGGGGCGATCCCAGCGTACAGCACCTTTGGAAAGTACCATACCACGGGTTGTGAGTGAAAATGGAGGCCATCGATAGCTGTGACTGAGAGTTTGTGTCTGCTGGCTTTGTTCAGATTGTTGATCACGCTATATAACACACTCTCTCCCAGAAACTGTAACTAAGGTTTGCTCTGTGGGTGTTGAACAAACACAAAATGTGCCTGAGGAAGCGTCTGCAATTTACTAGCCGCCCTACTGGTCGTACTAATGTACAGCTATCATATATATATATATATATATATATATATATATATATATATATATATATGTGTGTGTGTGTGTGTGCGCGTGTGTGTGTGTGTGTGTGTGTGTGTGTGTGTGATTCCTTTTTGATGAGAGAATATGGTGAGGGAATGTACATATACATGTGCGGGCTTGGGCACCTCTAGGTGGTGTAATGGTTAGCAAGCTTGTCTCGCTAGAACAATTACGACTGAGTAGTGAGTTCGATCCTCACTGGCTGTCCCATACT